TTTCGACAAATCCGAATCTGACTGCGTTATTCGGCTCCTTGGCGCGTGTCAAAACACAAGTACCAAGGCGGAAACCGTAAAAATAATGGCAACAGAGAAAACACGAAAGCAATACGAAAGCAAGAGATCAAGAGAGAAACAAACAGACAGGGACAGAGTACGCGTAACCTAGCGAAATTATCGAATAATTCACGCTAGGATGATCGGCTTGATTCAGGAACGCTCGTTGTTGCCGACAATAGTGCGCGAAACAATGCATCCGCCAACAAAAAGGCCATCGCTGCACGCTTACGTTGAATTCACTCTGAATCCTTGAGCTCTGCAGCTTCGCTGTGCCAGCAGCGTGTGCGTTAATCCGCAAGACTCCGAACTCTTTCCTCTCGATCCATCTCGCTCGGTCGATCGCATCGAGTTACAAATTTTCCTCTTTCCCGAAGTTGCCTGGACAGAGGGAACAAAGTTTCCCGACTGGAAGAGTGATTCACGCATCGCGAGTCCTCCAGTTCGAACATTAAGCTACCTTTTCTTCGAAAGGAGTTACTCGATCGTGGCCTCCTGAACTACCTTATCGTGTTTGCTCTCGAGTTCGATGGAAGTTGAAGATCGCGGCTATATAGCGGTTAGTTAAGTGGATGTCAAACTTCTTTCTTTCATGGGCTGCAACTTCCGCGAACTGTGTTTCGACTTTGACGAAGGAGGTGGGTCCGTCGCGACCCAAGTTCAGAACCGAATTCTGAACATTTTCCAAAACTAAACTTTGAAAGGTCGATCGAGATTGACGCGAATTGTTCTCATTAAAATCGATCTTCTCGATAAAAAGGGTTTTCGAACACATCGGAGAGAAAGGAAATTGTTGCGGAGATGTCCAGATATCATTCTACGGCCAACAACGGAAAGGGTAAAATAGGAATAAAGGATTTTCGCGAAACTTTCGCTCTCTCGACTATACTCGAATTATTTGCTCCGTCTGGCAGTAAAAGCGGAGCTACCCGAAATCGTATTTGCTATTCCCATGATTATTTGCCGGCACCGTTTCTTTCTTCTTTCCTTCCTTCTCTTCTTTTCTTTCCGAATTTTTTTTCCTCTTCATCGGGCCCTTTTTATAGCGGATGACCAATAGCGTGGGTTGAATGGGATGCTCCTTTGGGACCGTGCATTCTGTACCCGTAAGAATGCACTTTTCTGCCGGGTGAAATGAGCCGAGCTAATTTTCGGATCTGCCTCGAGATCGTACGCGGACTGGAAAGAACGAAACGAATAATGGGAGGAGACGGGAGAAAGGAGTAAGTTTACCCAACGACGACATCGATCTTGCGATTCTCTTTTATCCGGCTAGAATCGGGAAACTCGATTGATTCAGCATCTTCGTGTATCTCTTCTGCTTCGTGTCTGTTTGAACGAAAGCTTCGACGAGCACGATTAACGTTTGCTCTCGAGTTTCCTTGTCTCCTCGTCACGCTTTATCGCGTCCATCTCGGAGAATTTTTTGGTTCGACGTATGGTCGAGAGGATCACTCTTGTTCGCGATACAGGTGACTGCGGACAAAAGTTCGTTCGATTGGTTTCCTTATTTTTCTGCTCCGATCGACAAGCGGCAAACGATCGTATCGATCAAGTGTTCCACCGCGAACTCGGAGAAGTTGAAAACAAATTTATCTTCCGCGCCGAAACCCTGGCATTCTTCCAGCAGGTATCTTGATCGCTTGGCTACGGATATAAGGCATTGAAATTTGATCGGGATCATTTGTACCAATAAACATACGCTTAGTCTGGAACGATACCGTTATGGAGGATCGTGTAATGTAAATGGAGGTCGCGAAAAATCGCGCAGCCAGATTGAACGACGGGGAAAGAACGGAAAGAAAAGTTCTAGACTTTCATTACTCTACTTCGATCCGAATGTTGTTCAGTTTGGAAAGCAATCACGGAGTTACTTTCAATCTTCTTCGATTTCGTTTCTCCTAGTTTCCAAGTTCGTTCCCAACTTTCATCTTTTGAAACGCACCGTGAAATACATATTTGACCTGTCGTTGACACGACAGCGTTCCGGTTTATGTGCTAGCAAACTTCCTTCAACCAACTCGTTAATTTTCCAAGTTGGATGTTTTTTAGCAAATATTAAAGTTGATCTTGTAACTTGCCGGAGCGAATAAACAACTTGTAATTAGAGAGATGCAACGTATGGAACACGCGTATTCCCTAAATTGCTGGCCATAACTTCAGCTGCAATATCATTCACCGCGTAGTTTCCATCGAATAGAAATTACGTACTGAAATGTTATCGTTCGCTGTGCATCGTTATACATTGCATATTATGTATCGCAGACTGAACGCGAATGAAGTTGAAAAAATTGAAATCCTTTATGGTGCTCGAAAACCGTCGCGCTCGGAGTTTCAAAGGCGAGACAACGTAAGAGCGGAGAAAACTGAAGGAGTACTAGTTTTCAAAGAGAAAACAGAATATAACAAGGTATCTCATATTTGGTTTTCAAACGTCATCCAATTACCCTATATAGATCCTGCCATCTCTGAAATATTTTTCGTCGCAATTTTCTCTATGGATATCTAACGTAATATCCGTACACCTCTTTCAGCGAGTTCCAAGACTTTAACTTAAAAAACAAGCCTCACTTCGAATGTATTTGACGATGCGAACCCTCGGCAGGAGCTTCTTCGACGCGAGACACGCCCCAAATAAAAAGATCAGCCAATAGGGTCGGGCCGAGGAGGGTTCGAGGGGTGAAATTAAAATATCCTTGTCTAGTAATGACTCCAGATACGCTGGTAACGACGCACGTGAACGTATGTACGAACCGTCGTAACTTTGTTTGCGATATTCGGCGAACGCACGAAGGGTGGCGCGTTTCCAGCCCCTCGCGGAGGGTGCGGCAACCCTTCGTATCAACCAGATCCGCCGGACATATGCTGAAAGAGAGAGAGATGCGCATTGTATTATTCACGAGCTATTCGTGAGATAACACAAGCCTGATTTTTAATACGAGTTCCGAGGGTTAGGCCACGCTTCTGCCTGCGCTGCCTTGGTAACATTGTAATGGGATTAGTCGCGTTATTAAGGGTTTAAAATCACGGCTATGTTTTCTCGGATCTTAAACGTTGCAAGACTTGGTGCAAAGTGCGATGCAGTGGGAATTTAGTCGGATAAGCTGATATTTTATGAACGTGTTACAATTTGAGGGATCATAGTGTAGAGATAGTCGACAGATCGATATCATATAATTTCAATCTTTAAGAAAGATGTGTAGACTTATTCGTTAAATTCAAAGGTTACTACACATTAATTTTTCTCCATCAACACACGTGTACGATGGAAATGCATGTAGCACTTCCAGTGATTCTCAAACAATTGCAACGAAATTTATTTTGAAGTAATTTGAAAAGAGTCGACTATTGTTTCCCAGAACCGTAACAGGTGCAAACGAATGGCCAAGTGTAAACTGACACCCCATATCGTCGACGGTGTTTCAACCGAGATGTTTCACGTTTAATATTAATTTTCCGCCGCGTGCACACCGTGTGTGCCATGTACGACACGCTCGATAAAGCACCTACCCGTAATCAAGAAATTAGTTCGCGGCTTTAGAGCCGCATATATTCGTAGCCGCATTTTGGCTCTCGGTTGAAAGCGTCCATTACCAAAATGCCGTCGTTCCAACAGGGTCCGCTCGACTTAATCAAGAGACGATTAGACGTATCGAGTTGCCAATCGTGACAATGAAACTCGAATATACAGGCAATTTACAAATACTCGCTTTACTCGAGCGAAATGTAACAACCCTTCACTTTGGGATGCTCGATGAACTTTGTTAAGCTGTGAAGCTTATATTTAAGTAATTAAATATTTGGTAATATAACGACGTGTAAAATTAAACTTGTTTGAAACACGCGGTTGATTCTTGCGTTTTAGAACTTTCGATAACTTTGAAGTATCTGAAACGTTCTTATTCAACCGTGTTACAAAGACTATGAATACGTTTTATAGGAAGAGTGCACGATCTCTGAGTGGAAATGCAAATCGTCTGGTTCGATAAGTGGAACAAAAGGAAACAAACTATGGCTCCTGTTGAGACTCGATTTGGATCTTGAAGTTATTGAATATCGATGCGAAACGAAGTTATCTCTCAAGGTATCTCGATTTTATGGGAATGACGAAAGAAATCGTCAACTGTAATGGAATGCTTTCAACGGTGTCTCGAGGATGTTACATAAAAAATTGTGACTTCATTTCGTTCTAAATTAATAAAGCCGGTTAATGAGCTGAACTTTCTTTGCTATGCTAATGATATTTTCTTTAAACGAACCTGCGCCAATTTGCTCGACTGCTTCTGCAAACTTATCTTGATTAACTTCATTCTACAGAATTTGCTTCAGCACGTTTTACAGGAATTTGGATAATTGTCCTCCAGTGCACTTCTTCTTCAAATCGATTGTCACGCATTCAACGTCACGAAATGTTAAACAAATACGGAACACCGATAGTATCCGTCGTGTCATTCTCGTCAATTTAAAATCGTACTTCAAAATCATCGCAAAGAACGAGGGAAAATATAATGAGTAGCCGTGGCAGGGGTAACCCTATAAAGGCCAATAATAGTAGAAAGATGGGTACGTCGTATAAAGTTTCCGGACATATTAGCCACCCGTCGAATTAGCGTTGCGAGAAAATGCCCTACTCAGTGTCGATCCCAGGGGATGCGAACAAGCGTTTGGTCCCCGTGCGTTGGGGTGAAGCGAAAAGGGGCACCCTCGTGAAAAGGGCGGGGCCCCGTACAAAAGGGGCCCCGAAAAGAACCAACCCCTGGGTGGAGTTAGCACCCCGTATATATACTCTGCACCGATCCTTCGACTTACAGAACACGGTATATCATTGTGCCGTGAAGATCTCCGTCCGTAAAATTTTCCTCTTGACAGTTCAAAAACGTCATTACAAATTGACGTTCGTGTCGCTTAACCCGGGTGATATCCAGTGAATCGATGGAATTGTGTGCAAGATAATATTTCAGTGGCTACGCGCAGTGTTTTTTCGGAGTGTTCGATTTTCATCGAGGAGCCTTGTCGGAACACGTACGGCAATATGTCGCGAAGTTTCCTGGTGGACTCGTTGATTGGCAATAATTCACCACCTGCGTACCCGTTACCCTATTATGGGAATCAATTACCGAGCTACATGTTCAACTTCTTCAATTTGGGACTGGGCTATCAACCAATCAGGCCGGTGCCCAGACCGCCGGCCATGCCTGTTCCGGTTTCAATTAGCCCACCCACTTTAGGAAGCTTACCTGTGCCTGGACAGAGCCCTCCGTCGCCTTTAAACACCTCCACGAGACTCTCGGGTAAATATTTTCTTGACAATTCGTTGGTAACGTGATTAGATGTTTGAGACTTAGGAAGTTCGAAACTGGGACATTCAGTACTTTGAATAGTTAGGACACTTTGGGATGTTTAGAAAATAATGCACTACATATGGAAGTCTTGTATTTTATTTTGTAGTCTGAAAATTTTTAGACTAACATCATTCTGCGCTTCAGATGTTTCAGCACCGAGCGAGTCGCCGTCTCGCAACAGCACCCCGACACCGCCCCCGAAATCGCCGAATTCCATCAGCAACAGTTCGAAACGGATTCGAACGGCGTTCACGAGCACCCAGTTGCTGGAACTGGAGCGGGAATTCGCCTCGAACATGTACTTATCTCGACTCAGGCGAATCGAGATCGCCACGAATCTACGACTGTCCGAGAAACAGGTGAAGATCTGGTTCCAGAATCGCAGGGTGAAGTACAAGAAGGAAGATTTACCGTCGGGACAGAATCAGAAGTGTTGCTGTCTGCGAACGTGCGGCAAGAAGAAGGATGGCTGCGCGGACGATTCGACGGGTAGAAAATGCGATCAGGAAGAGGAGAGATCGACGAAGAGCGAGAAAATGGAAGCGATTGAGAAGGCCGCTGATACGATCAGCCAGGAGGAATCGTCGAATTCGATGGTGGATCGTTTCGAACGATCGATCCCTTTCCCGACGAACGACAAATCGCAGTTTCATCGGGTAACGGAGGATAAATTAAATCTGCCGAGGGTCAGCAGTACGATGGTCGAGCGTCCTGGTTACGACAGGGATCGGCACAATTTGTCCCACGGAACGAAACGTACAATCGAAACGTTGGAGGAAACGGACGATAAGAAGAGACGAATCGACGTGTCGTCCTTTTGTCAGAATGCGATCCAGGATACTGTCGTTCCTCCTGTGTTCAGGAGCATAGGATGCACAAAGCACACCGTGGAAAGAATCGTCAATTCGTAGAATACAAAATGTAGCTGGATTTGTTTGCGAAATATTCAGACCTTGTAAATACTATTGTGAATACTGTACATATGTATTTTTATACGATTTTGGAAAAGATGTATATTTTAGTAGGAGTTTAAAGAGAATAAAATGAATTATTTAAATCGATGGCATTGTAATTACCTGGCTCTACGAATTCCGTGAAATATATTTAGTTCGATGTTGTTGCATAAATGATTTACAAAATGAAGCCCCAAAATTATTACCTTACATTTCGCACTGCTCGTGCAGCAACAGTGATGTTCGAAATTTAATTAGTTTGTTCTTTTATGAATGATTTCATTATAATTCGTGTAAAATGTTGGTCACTATATTCAATTTGGAACGTTCGTATATCACTAATTCAATGATACAACCTCGTGTTAAGTTTCCATTAATTCTCGAAGTTCGTGAAATTCGCAGCTGAAACAAGCGATAATTGGTAAACATTTTATCGGATACGAAGCCTTCGAACATTGCTTTTGAGCAGATTACCGCAAAAGTTCAGTTATTGATTTTCACGGAAGTTACCGGAGCATGTACAGAGGTAACGTTACATCTTTCGGATTATGTTTATCCGTAGAAGATTTACGGAAGATAACACTGTTCATTTCTCTGACGGATTTATCGTTCGCACAAATCTTTCGAGGATAAGTTTCCTGTGAACCGTTTGCAATAAAATATCCACTGCAGATGTCAGCAAAATGTCGCGATTCAGGAAAATCGTTCGTTGATACAAAAATATCGAGTCAATTTGATTTCGATTCACGGAAGAATTCCGATAATTGATTCTTTAGCGAAGAGGAAATCCGCTTATCGTTGATTCTTCTGGTCTTGACGAAGGAAAAAACAAAATGGCACCGTTTAACTCGCACGAGTTCTCGCATTGTGGACAGTTCCAAGGAAACGATTTTCCAAATGCCGGACTCCAATGAAACGGATTAAAGAACGAAGGACAGCGAAAGGGAAGTTGAAGAAGGATCCCGAAACGCGGAGTCGTCGTCGCGGTCAACAAAGTGGATTCATTGTTGGCGAGAAATCGGCCGTGATGCCGTAAATCCTGGAAATTTGTCAAGAGGCCCCCACTTTGGGTTAAATTTAAGGTAAAACGTAGTTAATGGTGTTAAGGAGCGTCGCGACAATGCCCGGAGGCATTCTCGCATCCTCGTGGACCGACAATGGAACACTTGTGTCGCCTTCGTTCTCGCAGCGGGTGAGCGAACGTGAAAACCGGCTGCCCTTTTTTTCTTAGGTCCCGAAAGTTGTGTCGAGGCCCATTCACCACGTTCGCCAAGTCCCGAGTTCGTGCTGGTCTCATTCATCCTTGACTCGAGAGCATCCAACGGAGAGAAACAGAGCGGACAAGAGAGATCGACCGAGCTCGATGAATGACTGGCTCCAGGAAAAACTTCGAATCAAAAAATTGTCACCCTCGCGTCGGCTTTCTTTCTTTCTTCCTGAGAGAAGTTTCGAGTTGAAGGGCGGTCCGTACCCAGCTTTATTCATGAAAGTATTCGCATCGTAGCTGATGCGAATTTATACTCTTTAATGTGTCACTTTGACTGAGAATTTGTTGAAGTTTCTTGTTTAAGAGAGAACAATTCGTAAGCCTCCAGATGACATTATTCAATAACTACCTTGCGCAAATTATAAGTCATCAATATATTTAATTTAGACTTAAAATGTTCACATCAACATCCACATCGATATGAGTAAATATCGATGTCGATATTAGTAAAATGCAATAATTGCTAAAGTATTGAAGAAGGCTTTAAGAGTCTGATCTAATTCTTCTTTCATCTAATCTCTGATGCTCCGCAATCAGCTAATTGCAGCTCGTAAATTCTGTATCGATCTAAATGATTTCGCACCCGCACCGTAGCCGTCGGACGAGCTGCGATTCAATTTTCCGGGCCCTCGCGTGCTCATCCTCGTCACGGCTCGAATTCAATCCGATTTCGAGTAACGCGAACGATATGCAGACACAGGAGGTCAGCTCCTTTACGAATCTATTAACATTTGAACGTGTCGACGGACAGTCCGAGACAACCGGCGAATTAAACAGAGAGTAGGTTTGATATATTTCCAGGGTTGCCGAGAATTAGCCGGATTACAGCAAACGAGGAGTCAGTTAATTAGGCACGTTTCGACTTTGTGTCGCTGGAACTTTCGGTAAAATGAATTAAACTAGCCCTCAGAGTAGCTAGGTAACGCTAGTGGCATACTAATATTATTAGATCCGTCGCCTTCGTACTATTCCGCGAAAGTGCGGCTTAATACGTATCGCTCGAAACTTGGCAAATTCGATCGCGTTGCTCATATAATTTCATTGACAATAGCAGAGGTGGTTGTGATGTTCCATTGATAGAAGTGCACTTGTATCGATGATTGTGCCGCACTAATTACCACCGTAATTGTAATTTCACCGGGATGATTACTATTTGCCCCGTTATATCTGGTGAATGGAAGCACTCTGTTGGAAATGATTCAATAAATCCAGCTCCGCTAACCAAATAGTTAAACGGCTCAGATATTTCAACGATCAGAAACATGTTAGATCAAAAAAAGGATAGAAAGTGACCGAAACGAAGACAGATTATCAGAAAACATCCTAATTGTTTCTCGAGGTGAAACTGTTCATATATAACGCTGTCATGTATTAGCGAGTCGAAGCAAGTCGCGGCACTCGAGAAAAAGCGTGGTAGCAAAACGTTGGGGTGGAAACCGCAACGGTTCTTGCGTCTGGAAACAAACGGAGTAAAGAGCGAAGGACTAAATAGCGGGAAGGGGAGCAGAGAAAGAGGGAAATAGCAAAGAAGAAAGAGGAAAAGAATCGAGCTTTCCGGTTCCGGAGCGTTAATTCGTTTCATCTTATGCGCACTGAAGTGGCGCTCGATCAAAGTTGAAAAGAGTCAGCGCGACAGCACTCGAGGAGCACGCAGAATGGCGGGGGTTGATTCGGCCTTTTGCGCCGGTCGAGGGGGAACACGGTGACAAGACGATAGAGAACCGACAGGATGGTGCGGGCACTCGAAAGTTGAAACCGTTTTTCGTGTTTGCACGAGAGAAGGACAATGGCGACGCGCGGTTTCAACGTCAACGCCGAGGATCTCTTTGAACATTGCTAACCGAGTACCTACCATAACGAATTTCTTCTCACAAAAGGGATGCTTCTTTATTCCGATGGAACCGGGAGTCGTTTAACGTCGCGTCGTTGAATTTATTCGAGTGGAGTACGATGGAATCCAACAATTTGATTTGCCACTGAGAATTATGCATAGTGTGAAAGACGGTCTCACAGTATTCCTCCTTCTCGATTTGAAATTATAAACCGTGGTCCTCGAGTATTTGCGTTACGGTTCTCTTATGGCTTCTATTTTTCTCTTATTTCGTGTTTCATAAAAGAAGCGTGAACTCTATCGCTTTTATTTTATTTTAAAAAAAAACCACTCATCGCCATTTCGCCACCTTTTAAAATATCAATATGCGAAGCATGCTTTCGAATGCGTTGCGTGGCATTTCAAAACCGTGCCAGTTTTATCATTTTCGAATATGTTTGCTAGATGTGCGAGCAGGAAACTGTCGCGTTTAATCTTTGAAACACCGAAACCGGGTCAGGATTAAAATATTTATCTTTATGTCCTATTTGATTTTAGTAGTTCATGGACTCGCGAACGATACCAAACGGTGTAATATACCAGCAATTTGTAATTTATTGCGACGAAAGCTGTCATGTTCTAATTATTACATAGCTGAATATCGATTTCCGTGTCGTGAACGTTCATTGTCAAGAGCAGACGCGATCCATTTTATGCTGATTTACGGTAATGTACAATCATTTCCAGAATTGAAAATCTCGATTAAAATTCACAATTTCACCGGTGAAAATTGCAATTTAGATTCGTAATTTCGAACTTCGGAATCGAAGTTTAAATTCATGATTTTACCATTGAAAGTTCAAATTGCAATTTATAGTTTCGTTGCGAGTATCGGAATCTCGTAATTACAGCGACGAGAGTTGGAATAAAAATTCGTAATTTCAAAATCGCGATCAAAAATTGCGACTAAAATTCGGAGAAAATTCGTAGTGCACGCACGTAGAGCGTTCTTTATAAGAGTGGAATTATTACGGGTCGGCAAACTCGGCTCGCTCCACTTCGCCGTTCCTTTTATAGCCACGACGTTCGCCGCCTATCGATGACGACGCACAAAATCCGAATATTTTCTTATTGTGTAGGCGTTCGTATTGTGCAAACGATTGAATCGTGCATTACCGATTTCGACATTAGCCGCTGTGCTGGTCCAATGACGCGATAATAATTCCGCCGCCCACAAACACGGAAAGCTACCTGAATTCGATTTAGAACGCACAATCGGCGAAAGAATTTACGACCGTGCCTTGGATATTTCAGTGGCACCTAGTTTGCGAACGAGAAAGCAATTTATGACAGAATAGTTTCCTTAGAATCCAACATGCACGTATTCACCGCTGCGGAGTGTAATGGTTCCGAGGAAGTCAATTAACCAGGAACGGAAAAAATTACAGAAACTTTCTAAAGAACAGTGCTTCGGAATGAAAAGTGACGGCTGCTTCTTCCGTGTGGTGACCCGGTTTTTCCGAGTTTATTCCCGAGTGGTAAAGACAGTTCCGACGAGTCATTAGACGATCGTTACGTTAGGCAGGTGCGTATCGCGTTACCTGCATGCTGTTTGATTTTCATATTAAACCGTGAAGCACGCGTGTCCCACGCATCTGCGTGTAACTTTCAGGAAATTAACGTGCAGTCCATCGGCTCTGTTTTAACCGAAAACTTGGCCATCCGTGACGATCGAATGTTCAACGGGGCTTCGAAGGGTTAATCGAACGTTACAATTTCACCTGCTTTTCCGTGTCTAATTTTCTTCGTTACGTATAGAAGTTTCTCCTTGTAAATCTAAGTATCTAGTGTTACTACAATACGATCACTATCTCGACGCACCCAGAGCCTGCTCAGCCGCGTAATAAAATGTTCATATGCAAATGAGCATCTGC